AGTTTGGTTATTTAATTCTGACTATGCGCTGAAACAATCTATGTAAAATGGTGGCAAATTAACATCAAGTAATTCAGTGGTGAAGTTACATTTAAAAACAATACTCCCACCTACATTTTCAATTCTCTTTATTAAAAGATCCTTCCAGACGTGGCCGACATTTTGATCTAGATAACGTATGGTCCAGTTTATCTTTTGTGTTTTATAAATTATACCAATATCTGGTGCCCCAAGACCCCCATTGTCAATGCCCGATATCATAGTTTTACGGGAAACCTTGTATTTACCGCCCCAGAGAAAACTAAACATTGCATTAATTTTTCTCAGTTCTTCGAGCGGAACCGTTATCAAATAAAAAATGTACTGTAATTTAGAAATACCAATTGCTTTCATAATCTGAACTTTTCCAATAAGAGTAAGGTTGCGTTGTTGCCAAATATTAAATATTTTGAGGAGATCAGATTTAGATTTTAAGAGATTAAACTCCAACGCTTCATGTTTATTGTATGAAAATTAAATGCCAACTATTTTAATTGGAGACGTAGGCCACTTAACATTGTACAATTTATCTCTACGCTTCCGCCACCTACCCAACCATAAGGCTTCAGTTTTCTGAATATTTAGCTTAAGGCCAGAGGCCATATAAAACTTGTTAAATAAATGCAACAGTTGATTTCCAGAATTTTCTGTTGATAAGAAACAGGTGAGATCGTCGGCATACGCGGTCGACCTAATCTCTTTGTCACCTATTTTGACACCACAGATATAAGGACTTACATTAATTGACACAGCAACAATTCCAGCACAATAATAAATAAATATGGTGACAATGGGTCACCTTGTCTATCCCTGCGTGTAATGTTGAAATAGCCCGTACTACAACCGTTATTCATAACACAGCTCACAGGGTTTGAATAATATGTATGCACCCATTTAATAAATGATTCACTAAAGTGAAAAGCATTCAGACATTTAAAAAGAAATTGCCACTCAACTGTGTCAAAAGCTTTTTCGAAATCCACAGCCATCATGATAGCTGGGATATTTTCTTCCTTTGTATACGTAAGCATTTCGTCAATCAAACGAGCACAATCACCT